AAATATATATATATATTTGAAAATTGGATAAAGAAGATGCTGCTTTGCTGACACCACATTTAAACAGCATCTTTTCTCTCCTTGGGATCTAATTTCAATGTTTGTGGACAGATTAACGAAAGTATTGAGATGAGCAACAAACAAATGCTTAAAGCAGAAAGGAGGCTTTAAGTGCTTTTCTCATTAGTTAGATATAATGAGTCCCATTGATTGTGTTTTGTTTCTGTGCAGCAGAGGATGTCAAAGACGGCTACATGGAGGAGACTGAAACGAGCGCAGATGAACCCAAAGAAGATCCAACATTTCTTCTACAGAAGCCGGTCAGCCGGGCTAAATTAGGGACGCGTGCAGATTCTGTTCAGGTACTTCCAGCTGCAGGTATTCTTTCATCCAATCCTCTACAAGGATTTATGGAAAAAATGACAGTTATGTGATGCATTCCTTCTACAGGGGAAAAAACAATCAGAATCTTCTGGACTGTTTTTCCGAGATGGAAAAAAGAGAATCGATTACATCTTGGTTTACAAGAAGTCCAGCCCACAGGTGGAGAAAAGGTGCACGTTTGAGAAGAATTTACGAGCCGAGGGTCTCATGTTGGAGAAGGAGGTGAGCATTTCCAGCCTTTCCTTTTTTAACTTTTACCTTTTTATGTTCTAAACACCTTTTTGTTTTTTTTTTATCAAAGCCCTCTTTGACGAACAACGACATCATGTTCGTGAAGGTCCATGCTACCTGGGATACGCTTTGCAAATATGCAGAGCAGATGAACATCCGCATGCCTTTCAGGTAACTTTACTCTACAGACCTTTAAGTGTTTACAGTAACTGATAACTTTGTCTAACTTTAAACACATTTGTCTGTTTATTTTAGAAAGAAATGCTACTTCACTGACTGGAGGAGCAAAACCCTCGGCAGGTGAGGAGAATTACCTGACATTTGTGTTTTTTTCCTCTCCGGTTTAGAGATTTGATGCACAAGCTGAAGGTACATTTTTAAAATCTGGAGAAGTCTGAAATATTGCTTTCTTTTTAGAATAGAAGAAAATCTGAATGTCTTTTAAATAATTACTTCTTGCTTTGGCAATCGAAAAACTCTTGGCCCCCAGATCTACTATATTCTAGTAACACTGCAAAATGATCTAGAAATAAGTCATTTCTTAAACATTCCTTAAATGAAGTGTATTTACCCTTAATTTGAGTAAATAAATGAGATATGATAACCGATACTTTTTAACATTTAAGCTTGATTATCATGGAGCTGTTGACCTTTATTTTATTTTATTATTACAATTGAATAATAACAGTATTAATAATGTAATGCTAATAATGTGCACTTGCCTGTTGCTTTAATTCTATAAATGTTCACATTGTGGGATAAATAAAGGATTATCTCATTTTAGATCACTTTGATGACACGTTCTATTGGGATAAAGGAACTGGGTTCTTTTCTAGATCTTTATTCCACTTTCTGTGTGGCCTCCAGTAACATATGACATTTAATATCTACTTTGAAAGTTAAAGGTATAGTGCCGAATGTTTTTTTTGGATCATCAAAATAAATAGTAATAATACAGCTGAGTTTGACATAGTGGAAAATTGCAAATCTTTTGCAAAGCAAGCTTGTATGCACGATGCAAACGGCAACATTTAAACAGAGCGTGCATGAGGAGAAATTGACTCGTGCACGCTCTT